TCAGATGGTTGTTGGAAGCCTAACGACGCAATTCGCCTGATTTTCGATTTTTTTTTGGCTAGATCTCTGGTTGCGCGCCCCCAAACCGACTTTCGTAGGTGCACCACAAGCTCAAGCCGTTTGATGACTTCAGCTCATAAATAGGCTTTAAAAACTCAGAAGCAGGTTTTTCTACCGATCTACCGGTGTTGACCAGAATAAGTTTTATACATTTTCCGTTTTTTTCCCTCATGCCGTTACCCCAAACTCCATCCAAAATTGAAATCACATGAGGGAGAAGCCCGTTGCGTGAACAAAGAAAATTTGTACTTCCCCTGATGTGGATCCCCTGCCCCATCCTCATCATCTCCCATCAAAAAGCGCGGGCCCGGTCGGCCAGCATCTGTCACATAACCCATGCTCATCCATCACCGTCATCATCAGCATGGCCATCGACTCCCCCCAAAATCGGTGCTGAAATAAAATCAAATCGAAGCCCCCGGAAAGAACGATTGGATCCTGGGGAATTTGGGAAATCCCGAAGCGAACGCGGGGGAAGGTCGGGTAGGTCGTGCAAAACCGTTCGGGACGGGAAGGGTGGCAGAGCGGAACTGTGGGCTGCAGAATCGGGTGATTAGGATTGATTGGATATAAAATCTTGGTGCTAAAAAGTGTTATTTTGAGCTGACTCCGGATCCGGTCGACAAAACTGGCGTCTAGCTAGAAAACCGGTTAAAATCGGGTTAAAGGGCTTTTCGAAGGCAACGTTTCAGGGTCTGGCTTGGCAGCGTTTGAAGCTGAAATTCAAGCTCCCGGAATATATCACAATCACGTTTCCGTGAAAAATCATCATTTTTGAGGTTTTTGTTTACCGAATCTTGATCCGCATTCAAAAATACTGTATTGTAGCGTATCCGGACCGGATTTTTCAATTTCGACTTTTGGCAACTCCCCATTTGTGATTACAGAACTCTCCCAGGTTTCCAAAATTCGTAAATCTGTGGAACCCGCCTATTTTGGGAAACCTCGTTTTGCTTTACAGAATGAACTACAACCCTCGTTACCGGGGTTACTGTAGTACCCAAATAGATTTTTTTTGAATTTTCGACAATTTTTCGAGGGACACGCTTAATTTCAAAACAGGCCCCGCATCAGCTCGTCGAGGTCTGAGGGCTAGTTTACCAAGCAAAGGGCTATCGTACATGGTCCCGTCCAATAACTACAAGACACCCCCTGTCCTCTCAATGTTTACAAATCACGCCTCGCCGGGGACGTTCAAAAAAAAACGCTCGTCTCGTCTCATCGCGAGGAGAACCCCCCAACTCGGATAGGTTCCGGGGTGATCGATCACCTGCCGTCCATCGTCGATAGGATGGGAGCGGAAGGGGGGGGGGGGAAGGAGACGATTAGTGGCCATGGGAGGGCCGGTAGAATCAAGGGTGGGTGATACAGATGCGAGAAAGAGATGGAGAGAGAGGGAGAGCGGGAGAGAGAGGAGAGAGAAGTGAAAGATCCATACAGACATACATACAGATACACACACACACAAAGGACTGATTGATGGCCACCAACTATCTATCAGGTATTGGCGAGGGAGAGGCTTGTGAAACACAACTTTCGCGCTTCTCACCCCCCGAGACACACCACCCGGACAAGCAAAACCCCGCGTGGCGGGAAACGGAAGGGCGTGACGAGGAGACGAAGAGGGGGGTACTGTAGCTGAGAGCTAGTGAGAGAGCGGGAGAGAGAGAGCGAGAGAGAGAGAGGTGGGAACAAGGGGGTTGTACAGTCACGATTAGGTGTTTGAGCAGTAAAAGTTCATTATCTAGTCAACTAGTCATGATGGGATAGAGCCGGAAAAGATAACGGTAGCCGGAAAGAGACAATGAGCGAGAGAGATAGAAAAGAGAAATCTAAAGATTTTCTTGGCTTCCTCATTTCCGGGTGCCCTGGGTGCCCTGGATTTCCTACGTAGTCAAAAGTTACATTTGAATAACGGGTTTTTGTAGCTCTCTCTCTCTCACTATCTCTCTCTATCGCTCTCTCTCTCTCTTCCTCTCTCGCTCACGCATTACGTTCGATATTTCAATAGCTTTCGGTTACCTCGAAAATTCCATTAGCTACCCACCCCAAAAACGAATCTCCTCATTCTATTCTTGGGTTTAGGTTATTGCCGGGCGGAAGAGCCCGTCTCAGCACACACACAACCCCGCAGAGTGATGGCATCGATCACCCGGGTCGGTGTCTTTTTCAGTGAAGGGCGGTCCGCTTCTGTGTTGGGCAGGGGCTGGCCAGGACGATTGAACGATGGCCGGGAAGGGCCATCCATCTTGGGCAAGATGAGGAAATCGGTCACTTGTCGCCGCCGCACAGTTGGCACTCCAGGCAGCGAGGGGGAGATGAGAAGACGGAGACCCATTTGTCTCCGGGTAGAGGGAGGGGGCCCACTGAAGGGCCTCCCTCAAACAACCACCAACGATCACACACAGACACATGGCCAACAGGGGGGGTAATTTGCGATTAAAGGGATTGGGAAGAGGATGGGACGTGGGCAAAATGCCGACATGAAAATCCGAAAAGCCAAACCGCCGACAGTCCCTACCGCGACAACAACGACAAAACCAAAATAAAGCCAAGATCCAAAGATTTCCAAATTCAGCCGATACCAAATTCGATTCGATTCCAAATGCCGATAGCGAAAGCCCCGAAAAAACATAATGCCGACAGCGAAAATACCAATCTTCAGAAATACCAAAGCTGCGGACGGACAAATTTCTGACGCTGACGACAGACAGAATGGCGGCATTCAATGCCGACAGATCAAAATTATGAGAGCCAAAATGCCGACACCTACCTTAGACAGCAAAAATACCGATTGCGAAAACACCGACAAACCCAAAATGTCGGAAAACCAAGTTCCAGGGGGCAAAATACCGATAGCGGATTGGGTCTCCAAAAATCTCAAAATTGCATCTGAAAGACTAAAATAAATTCTCCGCGAAGCTCAAAGTTCAAGGTTAGGTACCCAGTGGTGATGATTGTGGAAGCTTCTAGCACGGAGTAGTTCTTAAATGATACCAGCGCTTGTCGAAGGCGACTGTTTTTTTCGTGCCGCCAAACCCTCCACAACAAAGGGTGCTGCTTTGAGCTCGAGCTCAACTATTGCGCTTTCAGGTTCTTTTATAACTTCACTACCAAACTCATGCTACTTTCAAGTCAAAAGACAAGCACACTCCTCCTCCTCCCATCCCTTCCATCCCCAGCCCGAGACCATAAATATGGGTAAGGTGGGATGGATGGGGTAGAGGGGTAGGGGGAGGATCAGCCTCCCCAGGCCCACCACCCCCCCCGCTGGATATTTATGGGGGCCGTGCTCCTCCTCGCAAAACTCGAGGAGCCTAGCCGAAGTCGACTTGAAGACGAATGGGCCTGGGCGGAGGATCCGGGAGGCTGACTTTGCTGCCACTCCTTGGCCCTTGAAAGAACATCATTTACCCATCCGGGAGCCGAGTGAAGGGGAGAGCGGACCTCGCGGAGAACAAGGGCTGCCGCTCCGGCTTGATAGATGAGCATGAGGCTGTTTGCCTTTTGGGGCAACACGATGGAGGGAGGGGGAATTTTTGGAACGTGATTTTGTGGCGCACGAGGAGCTCCGACTCTGAGACGATCTTCTAGTTAGGAGAAACGGCATTTTTTGAGTTGTTTTTTGGCGATGCTCTATTAGGGTAAAAGAGCTTTTTAGCTAAAAAACTATAGGGTGCCCTAAACCTACCGTATCCCTAAAATTTTAGGCGTACACAAACGCAAAAAATAAGGCGATTTGCGGGCCATGAACTGCAGCAAAGCTTTTCAAACCCCGAAGGGATGGCCCATTTCGCCCAAAAATTGTTTTATATCGATTAGTGTGAAGAACCTATCGTTTGCCCCTCTAACCGTACCCCTCCAGGTACCGAATTCACACCTAAACCGCGATCTGACCTCCCATCGCCTCGCGAGATTGGCATGCCTGTGCCAGTCTTCCCCCGGGGCGTCCTTTGGCACATATCGCCCCCAGCCGGCGCCTCTCTCACCCGGTCCCGTGGTGTAGCGGTTAGCACTCAGGACTCTGAATCCTGCGACGGGAGTTCAAATCTCCCCGGGACCTTAACGTTTTGCTTTTTGAGAAATGTGGCGTGTCGCGAGGAGTACGCAAATTCCAAACTACGCCTCAGCCAGTCTGATGTTTGTCTGTTGCGATAGGTTTCAAACACCGAAAACTCTTTCCTCCCGCTAGGTTACAGTGAGCTTGTATATTTTTGTGTAATTTTTGGATCCGGTGCATTTTTCGCTCAATACAAACCATAAATTCAATATTCATTACTAACCTGTATACACACGCACGAAAAGACAACGCCAAAAACGCGGACAATAAAATGCACAAAAAATGCAGGCGGGGCAGGAAATAGAAATCGGGAAAATTCGACAAGTACTTTGAAATTACAGAAAATTGGCGGCACTTATGTTATTTAAGAAATTCGAACAAACCAGCAGCAGTACAAAACCCGTAGATTTGCATAGGAGGGGAGGGCCGGGGAGCTAGGGATTTATGAATTTTTAGACATAAACCTTTTTCTATTTTTTTATCACAGCGAGGACGAGGGTGGGGGGATTACGGTAATGCCGGTTTGTCACTGAATACAGTAATCCAGAGCAAGAAAAAGGAAAAAGAGCATTACTGTAATCCGCAAAAAAGGAAAATTGAGAAATTGAGTATCCGGATTTGAAGGGGAGTGGATATTGCCGTGTTTTGAGGGTTGGGAAGTGGAGCATGAACTTTTTCTCTGTCTCTCTCGCTCTCTCCACTTCCCAATCACTTAAAAACTAAAAATGACTGGATTTCAGTCCCGCGTCGTTTGAATTCAATTTTAAAGGGCCACTGAAGGCAAGAAGACTATGGATTGGGACCTTAGGGGTGGGACCAAGGGCTGGGATCGAGATTTTAAAGGACCACTAAAGCCAACAAAGCCATAGATTGGGATCTAAGGATGTTGCTGGAGTCCCATCATCATCTTTTGCTGATACATTTGCATCTGCTGAAGGGCGGCAGCCGGGAAAGACATGCCACCCATTGCTGGGAATGGGAAGGCCATGGGGGAGGCGGCAGCCGAGGTGGGGGTGGTGGTTTGGGGCTTAGAATAGGGGTGATAGCGGCTCGAGGCGGTGGAAGCTGTAGATGAGGCCGGGGTGGAGGTGGTCGACACGGAGGTAGTGTTCGCCGGGGATGGGCTCTTGTTCTTGGGCGGCGGGCTGTCGGAGGTGTGGGCGGCCTGTAAATGAGAGGTTAGACAAGTTCAAAACGTTCAGGGCAAAGATCCTTAAGCATCTCTAGCCTAAGCCTAGACCTAAGCCTACACAAAATCCCAATTCTCACCTTAATATGAGAGTTCAACAACTCGGCCGAGGTGAACGCCTTGTTGCAGGGCCCGGCGCCGGGGAGTGCCCAGTAGCAGCGGTGCTGCGAGGGTGATGGGGTCGAAGGCGTCGAGCTAGCGGTAGACGAGCTCGGCAGGGAGGAGGGCATCGACGTCGAGGAGGGCAGGGAGACGGTGGTCGCTTGAGAAGCGGCGGCGGCGGCTTGAAGCATCTGCTGGTAGGAAGCGGGGAGCGAGGTGGCGGTGCTGAAAAAGGTCCATGAAGATAAGCTCGTTTTCAAGCAGTTCGGTCAAATTACTTTTAAATAACAGCTTGAGCTCAAGTTCAAGCAGTTCACCAAAACTTAAATACTAACCTTGTTGTAGGCATAAATGGGAAGCCGAACGGGCTCATCCCCGGGAATCCGGAGGCGAGCGCGGCGAGTGCGGAAGCGTCCTGGCCTCCGGAAGCTGCTCCCGAACACCCTGGGCATGACGCCGGGTTCGTGCAGGGGCGGCCGAGCATCATCGAGGGGCACCGCATATAAGGGGGCATCGGGAACCCAGGGTATCCCATCGGGGGGTAGGCCATCATGCCGGGGAAGGACATCGGGAGACCCATCGGGAATCCGAATGGGGGGAACATCCCGGGGTGGCCACCCTTAGGCAGACCCATTGCTGTCATCGGGTCAACGGCCGAGTGCTGGAAATGGCGGATTAAATTGAAAATGAAAAGAACTATAGCAAACTAAAAAAGCAAAAAGTTGGAACTGGAGGGAATCGAACCCGGGCAGTGGGTGTGGTAGGCAAGCCCACTACCAATCGGCCATACTGTCTGTCAGTTTGCCATTAAATAAGTGCAAAATCTAATTTTCTAGACCTGTTTTTTGGTGCTGATTTTAAATATGCACTTAGCGTTCCTGAATAAATTTTAACTTTTGAAAAATGTTTTTTTTCGGAAACCTTGAAAGTTTCGCATAAAATTCTCAAAAACCTAAAGAAAAACTAAAATTCTACTTTAAAATATTTCTACTATATAATTTGATTATCGAAAAATCCATCAATTCAAGTTTCTCACCTTGGCAGCCATTTTCGGAGATCGCTGCCCGTTGGCGCGTTTCGGAGCCGGCGAGTCGGATTTTTTGCCTAAAAATCGAATTAAACAGATGATGTCTCAAATTCGGTTAGGTTTTTCAGAAAAATAATTCCCTAATCTTGCCCTCATTTTAGGACCTTTCCCACAAATATTCCCACTCTAAAAAGCAACTATCAGATGCCATAACAGCCCCCATTTAATGTGTCAGCAAATGGGAGTGAAATTGCCCCAGTTGGGACGTTTTTCTCACGCTTTATAGCGCGGCCGCCATACCGTAACCAATTTCGGGAAAGGAGCGTGTTTTAGTTGTATTATGGTACTGTAACAATGATGGTCAACACTAGAAAACTGAGAAAATAAAGAAAATAAAAGTAAAATCATACCGTCAGGACTGTCGTCCTTCTTCGATTTCTTGTGCACGGGCGTCTCGGGCATGCCGATGGTTTCGCATGTCTTGGCGAGCAGGGCGAGCGGGCTTTTCGTGGCGTCCGTCTGGAAATGGTAAACTCAAATATGTTTTTTGTGAGCTATTTAATTTTCTATTTCTTAGGCTGCAAGAAAAACGGGGTTTGAACTTGCCGAATTCGTGGAGCGGACTTACAAGAATTTTTAACGTGACGTAACGTGCAAGTCCAGAATCGGGATCTACTAGTCTAGCATACTCTACTAGTCGACCAAAATCTAGTAAATGATTATCAAATTACCAGAGCTCTGAACTTGTTGAAGTCGCCGGATATGGTATCAGGACATTTAGAAGGATCCACAATGCAAAAAGGTATACGTTTGTGCTCAGGCGCATTAATGAAAGGCCCAGCAATATTAGAGGTAGTAAAAGTAAAAGTCAAGTACCGTACCAGCATTTTCAAGCAGTTCAAAGGACGTAAGAATGCGCTAGAGTCCAGAACGCGACCGGAATTCCGAAATCTAACCGGAGCCGGTGCGAATTTGAGGCGAATCGAGGTGGAAACGTTTCACCCACCCCGTCAAAGACAATAAACCACCGGAGCGGGGGGAGGAGGAGCCTCCTCCTCCACCTCCTCCTCCCCTCACCTCGAGAGATCGTAATCGAGCCGCGCCGCAGCAGCGGAAAACCCCCGACAAATGAGGGGGATTTTGGGTAGCGCGTAAGCGCGGGAGACAGAAAAGAGTACCCAGCGCGATCGGGCGTAAAATTAGCGTGTTGCCGATCGGAATCTCCCCCGGGCCGCGGGGGCTCTGTTGTGTGTATCTCAGAGCGCGGAGCGCGAGCGGCGATCCAATCTCAAAGAAGCAACACATCGTCAAATCGAGGGCGGGATGGAGGGGACTACGGTAGTAGCGGGGGGGGGGGGGGTGACAGACTGGCCGGAGATGGATGAGGTGACAGGTCACACTGATGGTTGCTAGAGATTTGGGGGAGGGGGAGCCACTTGTTATGTAGCGGGGGTATTGCGAGGGGTAATCAGTCATTTTTAGGGGGTAACGTGACTTGAATGAGCCTTTAAAAATGGACAAAAAGAATCGATTAAATCGATATCTTAAGAAAATTTTTTATGCGTCTTTGAATGAATTTCATATCGTAATCGGATGTGCTAACTTGCAAACTTTGACAACGCTGGACCTTTAACAGTGTCTGGACCTAGTTTTAGAGCGTCTACAGTATCTTCTAGCTATGAAAAACCTTATAGTTCGAACTATAGGCAATTTCCTATCGTAATCGATAAAAATCCATGGCAATTCTCACTTCACATGTCCTTTAAAAGTGGCTAGACCAAGAACCCGCTCTGCTACAGTATGTTAGCGATTTACGGAGTTTTTCTAACGCTCTTTGGCTGAATTCCATGGCGTAATCGACTGAGCCATATGAAAAATTTGACTTCTACGGGCTTAAGCCCTCCTAGAGCTTGTTCTCAACCCCACCCGAACTTCCCGATCAACCAAAACTGTTGCTCAACAACCCCACTCCCCCTCCAGAGTCATCCCTCACCCTCTGTTGTCGTGCTCCCCGATCTAAGGGAGAAGCCGCCAAAAAGCCGAGGGCCTCCTGGGGTCTGAAGACCATCAATCTGAAGTCTTTGAGGCGGGGGAAGGGCCCTAGGGGGGCTGTGTGAAAGTCATCGCCCGATCATCATCCCTCACCTCCCTTCGGATGGGCCCTCTCAAAAAACGAGGGAGCGAGTGAGGGCGAGAGACAGTGAGAGAGAAAGAGAGAGAGAGCGTGTCGAAGCGGCGGCAGATGACGAATGGGCTGCCCATCCATCCCCATCCGTCTTCGCATACCCCCAGGGCCGCCGCGCCGCTTTGAGCACGACCATCCCCCTCCGATGCTCCCTGTAGCCCGCGGGGCTTTTTTTGGTGCGTGTCGGACAAATATGTGGCCGATGGGGAGGGGGAGATTCGGTAATTGGGGCGGAATTTGGCAGAAAAAGCAGCAAAAAGTGTTTAGCTCAGGTTTCGGCGTAGGCTTATGCTTCGGCTTAGGCTTATGCTTCGGCTTAGGCTTAGGTTTGGGCTCAGGCTTGGGCTTAGGCTTAGGCTTAGGCTTGGCTTAGGCTTAGGCTTAGGCTTAGGCTTAGGCTTGGCTTATTAGGCTTAGGCTTAGGCTTGGCTTAGGTTAGGCTTAGGCTTAGGCTTAGGCTTAGGCTTAGGCTTAGGCTTGGCTTAGTAGGCTTAGGCTTAGGCTTAGGTTAGGCTTAGGTTTAGGCTTAGGCTTAGGTTTAGGCTTAGGCTTAGGCTTAGGCTTGGCTTATGCTTAGGCTTAGGCTTAGGCTTAGGCTTGGCTTATTAGGCTTAGGCTTAGGCTTGGCTTAGGTTAGGCTTAGGCTTAGGCTTAGGCTTAGGCTTAGGCTTGGGTTAGGCTTAGGCTAGGCTTAGGCTTGGCTTAGTAGGCTTAGGCTTAGGCTTAGGCTTAGGCTTAGGCTTAGGCTTAGGTTAGGCTTAGGCTCAGGCTTAGGCTTAGGCTTAGGCTTAGGCTTAGGCTTAGGCTTAGGCTTGGCTTAGTAGGCTTAGGCTTAGGCTTAGGTTAGGCTTAGGCTTAGGCTTAGGCTTAGGTTTAGGCTTAGGCTTAGGCTTAGGCTTGGCTTATGCTTAGGCTTAGGCTTAGGCTTAGGCTTGGCTTATGCTTAGGCTTATTCAGTCAAAGTTCTTCTCAAAAAACTGTTGGGTCTACACAAAACTTTATGATGCGCTCCACCCGTCAATTTCTCACTTCCCCCTCCCCTCAGTAATCAGTCGGCCCGCAAAAAAGGAGTCTACCCCCCGGCCATAAAGCCATTTACAGGTGCCCATAACTCTCCGTTTGTCTCGACAGGCCCCGGCCACTAAAAACCGAATGGCCAATTCCAGGCCGTAACGGGTTTATGGCCGCCGATAAGGCAACATAGCTATGGGGGGAGGCGGCCGAGATGAAAGTGAGGGTTTGATGGCGGGCCCATTTCATGTCGTAAAACCCGAGGGGTTTTTAGGGTTTTTGAGGAGCCGCTGCTCCCCGTGCTACCCGTCCTCCCCCGAATTGCCTATACCCAACATCCCATTAACCGTTTTATTGGGCCCTTTCTTTAGATGGGGGAGCCTGGACCGGGAGTTGGATCGTTTCGTTGCTGGCCTCGAAAAAATAAAGAATTGTGAAAAAAACGGATGGAAATGTTGGAAAGGAAGTCAGTTGAAGCCTACGCCAAGCCTTAGCCTGAGCCTGAGCCTAAGCCTAAGCCTAAGCCTAAGCCCAAGTCTAAGCCTGGATTCAAATCAAAATAATTTGAAAATTTTGTCTCTTAAGTTTAAAAATACTGAAGAGTTTCGAAATTCGATTTTAAATTTAAAATGTCGTATTTTCAAAACGTTGAATTCCGAAAAGGCCAAAATGCTAAAACGTGGACTTTCAAAATCGGATTTCTAACGCCTATATTTATTTTCGGGATTTTTGATCACGGCAGTTAGATTTTAAAGGCCGAGTGAAGTCAAAATTCCGTCCATTCCGGGTAATTTTTGAATTTAAAGGTCCAGTCAAATCCAAAATTTACCCAGTCCCCTTCAAATTCCGGTAAACACCGCCATTTCCACTTTCCATTTCTACTCCAGATTCCTCTCGCACCCCCATAAAACCCAGGGCAATAAATCCGGCAAAAATTTACGAGTCTTTTCGGGGGCGCGGGCCTGCGCTGGGTGGATTGTTGCGGAATTGGTTGGCTAGGGGGGTCTTTTTGTGTATGGGGGCGATCGAGAGATGGATTTATGAGGAGAAGCGAGAATGGGACAGCAGAATAGACCTATCCCGCTCGGCTCGGCTCGCCCAGCCGCCCGATTTATGTGCTCTAATTCAATTTTCTGACGGATTTACGGTATGGGGGTAAATTGGGGAAAATAGGAGAGCGAGCTGCTGCTCCATACAGCCACCCCCTCACCCGCTGCTGCCACACTTCGTAAACATGTGACTGTGGCGGGTCGGGAGGGCTTGGAAATTGGAGTTTAAAGGGGCTGGAAAGTCTAGAACACGTCTAAAAACCTCAAAATTCAAAAAACAAAAAGCTCAGCCGGCTCGGAATTGAACCCTCGACCCTTGGCTTGACGCCTAGGCCACTAACCACTATGCCATAGCGAAAAGTTCCAATTTTTAGGGCAAAAAATATTTAAAAAATTACAGATCGTCAGATAATGCGAGACAGACAGTATCAGCAAGTTTTTATAGGTATCGAAAGGTCTGAAAGATCTTAAAATACAAAAAGCAAAAAATTTACTCCCGATGGAATCGAACCATCGACCTCTAAATTGATGCCTAACTCGTTAACCACTGCGCCATAGTGCAAACTCGGTAATTAAAGCTATCATTATTTTTAGGCAACAAAAAATTTTCGAAAAACCAACCGCACTGGCCGGGCTGGTCGTCGTAAAATCAGTGGAGTACTGTGATGTGTTTGTGGAGACCATGGCTGAAAGATTGAGGAATGAAGGAATCGAAAATACGAGAGAAAGAATGCTAGTGGTATTGAAGACATTAAGGAAATTATGGTACATCTGGGAGATAAGAAATTAACGATAAGACACCTGGGAAGGCATAATTCTTCCAGAAGGCGGTCTGACGCCCTAGGGTACATTAATAGGTGTGAAGTAGCGAGGGATAGAGCAGATAGGCTTAATTTTTTCGCACCATTAAAGGGACATTAATAGAAAAATATGAAAAGATACAAGGAAGAAATTTTCTGGTCGAGAAACCGGAAATCAAGCTTCTGTAACCTAGGCAAACAGGCCAGTTTACGAAGACACGAGAAGCTTTACAATTATGCTAAGGGGATCAGAAGGGGTGCTAAAATGAACCGATTCCAAAAAAGGCGTAAATAAGCACGCGAAGTTAAAGATATCTGGAGGTAGCTTAAAAGTATCGTAAGGGAACACAAAGTCAACCGGAAGTCATTATCAAGCTTTAAATAGCTCCTTAATAGGCTAAAAAAGGTGTGAACACCCACCGCCAAAGAAAAGAATCGGGTGTTGTTGAGGGGGTGAGTGGAGAAGGGGGGTGAGTGACGGGTAGTAGAGGGGGAGTGACGACCCCTCTCCCCCCGGCAGCACCTCAATGGGGGCGGGGCCTTAGCGGAAGGGGCGGAGCTTGTCCCCCTCCCCGTTGTGTCGGCTCGGTTGCAAGGGCCACGGTAATTGCTCACACTGATCACCCATCTGAAGGGATGGGGAGGGGGAGGGGAAGGGGATGGGGAGGAGCACACCCATCCGCTCCCCGCCAGATTTATGGCCCGCAGCCCTGAAGAATGGGACAGCTAGGGGTGGACGGGGGTTGGGATGGGCCCGGAGGTGCTTTGTAGGTTCTGAGGGTGAGGGGAAACATATTGAGGTGGAGGTTGGCTGAGGAGTTACATTTTGGAGGTATATGGCT